ATGCTGCTGACGATAATGATGACGGTAACACACACCTTAGATTCTTGCCCTCCTCGCCCACCTCCAGCTCGATGCCGTCAGCGAACGACCTGACGAAGTCTCCCAGAAGCGCCTGGTCCAGGGCGCGGTACACGTCTGCGTCACTGTACTCGTCATGGGGGTCAAGGTTCATGCGCAGTGTGCCAGTGAACAAGACGGGGTCCTGGCGGTATAGAGGGGCAGGGATAATGTAATGTAAGGACAGGGTCCTGGCGGTATAGAGAGGCAGGAATAATAGCTTAGGTTGTAGTATGGTGGTGATGGAATCAGGCGCTCGTCGAAGTAATGACATGGAAAATACTGGCGTTTTTTGCAAGTGTGGACAGTTATAAATTTGTTGTTGTTGTTGTTGTGGTTGTTGTTGTTGTTGTTGTTATTGTTGTTGTAGTTGTTGTAGTTGTTGTTGTTATCGTTGCTGTTGTTCGTCTTGTTGTTGTTGTTTTTTGTTCAATACATTTTATGTCTTTTTAAGAATAAATTTCTGTTCTGTGTGAATATCACTGAAAAATGTTGATCAAAATCACACACAAAAAAAATGTAAATTTGCAGTTCCAAGGACATTCAAGTTTTGGAAGTACCAAACTTTGGTGTCCATTTCCTCGAAAATTTCCCCCTCACACCAGACGACCACCACCAACCGCAATTATCTCCAATTCTATTTGAGATAGAAGGGTGTTTAAAAAACAACCAACAATAAAGCAAGATAGATTAAGTAGTTTAAAGTTGATATCAATAATGTCACATGCCCACAATTTGACGAGCGCCTAATTCCACCGTGCCATGACACATATATGTAATCAAGAGTATTACAGACAGACAGACAGACAGACAGACAGACAGACAGACAGACAGATGCTAAGACGAGAGAGAGAGAGAGGGAGAGAGAGAGAGAGAGAGAGAGAGAGAGAGAGTAGGCCACAACGAGCCACCAAAAGTATACCTGCGGTAAGATGGAGAGCTTGGCTCTCAGCTCGTAAAGGTCAAGGTCAGCGATGTTGACGTCATCAATCAGGATGCTCCCGCTGCTGGCCTCCAGGACTCGGAACAAGGCCAAAGTCAGCGAGGACTTCCCGGCGCCAGTCCTTCCCACAATGCCCACCTAGGGAGAAGATAGAAGCAGAATTAAGTGACAACTGGCTATGACGCAAAAAACAAAACAACCCCCCCCCCCACAAAAAAACCCTTGAACTTTTAGGACTATAGGATTGCAGCAAACCTGCACTTATCACTACATGGCATTGGACAGAAGGGCGAGAGCCCAGATGTTGCTGGATCGATAAGAACAATAACAACATAAGACTCTACGACACAAAATTTTCAGTTCATAATTAAAGTAAAGTCGTTCCCGCATCCGATCCGGACATTGGGGATTGCCTTGTTAGTGAGACAACTTCCTGGGCCTTAGGCATAATATTGTGGTAGGGTGGCCAGTTCCTTTCCACGCCGCCTTTACTTCCCCAACTCGAAGTCAGGCACCCATTACTGTTGGGTGGGCAAGAGGGGGCAACAAAGAAAATCCGTGTCCGAAACGGTTCTCAATCCCGAACTTTCCGCTTCGGAGACGAGCGCACTAACCGCTCCGCCACCGCACCCTCAGATCATTATTACTGTCTGATATATCATATATCAAGACTTTTCTTTTAAAATACAAAAAAGGCAATATTATGTATGTAAAAAGAGACTAAAATAATATCATGCAGCTGAAAGAGTCTAAGACAGCCACCCGATTGTAGATAAAGCCAAAACCGGCATTCAAATTTACCGCATACTCAAAACACACATCAAACTCAACATCAGTAGTTTGTAATACACATTTAACGACAAACCACGGCACACACCCCCCCCCCTCTCCCCCCAAAAAGAAAAACCCCCATAAAAAAACACAAAATTAAAAAAAACAAAAAAAACAACAACAACAAAAAACTGGCGTTTGTGGTGTAGATCTAGTGGTAAGGTTTTATTCGTCACTCACACACAAGACTCGAGTGAGGAGAATGTTTATCGAGTACAGATCTATCGGTCTTTCTGTTGGAAGGCTGTGTCCCTCACAGCTCGGTGTTAATAGCTGCCACTTCTATAAATAACTAACTTTTTAAATAAATAAAT